AGTACAACTTTGATTCTTCCACATCTGAGGCACCAAATATGATTCTTATTACCATACTATAAAAACAAAAAGGATATGCAGGAACTGGAGAAGCAATAATCTACAATGGCATTAAGAGAAATGCAGCATATATCCATCCAGCTGATGAACAGGTCAATCACTGTTGTTTTGAAGACAGAAGCACAAAGATTTACCTAACAGATCGTCAAACACATGAAAAGACTTTGATAGAGTAAGCACTGATAAAATGTTTCAAATTATGCTAAAGAACAAAACTAAATGCCATCGATAAAGAAAAGTCACCAAAACAACCAAACAGGGAATTAGGAAAGTTTACCCAGAGTGGTGAGAATATGGAACTTGCTGCCACAGGGAATGGTTAAAGCAAATAGCACAGATGCACTAAGAAATTAGACAAGTACAAGAGGGAAAGGGAAAAATGTTGACATAGTTAAATGTGTAAAGATGAGGGGAAGCTTGAGTGGAGTATAAAGGTCAACTTGAACTGGGTAATCTGGTTCTGTACTATATTGTTTATGTAATGATTTCAATACCGAACAGCCCGGCTCAAATTTAACATGACAAACTCACGCTCTGGATTTACTCACTGCAGGAGTGATTTCTTTGTACATACTATTTTATCATTTTAGATATTTCAATTAACACTTTAGGACACAAAGCTGGGTGGGAGGGTGAACTGTGAGATGGGCACAGAAATGCTTCAGCGCAATTTGGACAAGTTGAGTGATCAGCCACGATCATATTGAATGGCAGAGCAAGCTTGAAGGGTTGAATGGCCTGCTCCTATTTTCTATGTTTCTATCAGTCCTCAACCATCTACATTTCTAAATAAGATCATGCAATCATTCCTTATAACTTAACCTTTTCAGATCCAGCAAATTTGAACTTCACTTCTTCAAAACTGAAATACCCTTTCCGAAATGTGATGGCCCAAGATAAACACAGTGCTTGAGATGGGACTGAAGTTTCTGCAACGGAAGCATTACTATTTTCCCTTTTCTAGTACAGCCACTTAAGATTAAAACCAGCATGCCTGTTGTCTTAAATGCCTTTTCTACCAATGAATTACCTTTTAAAGAGATGTAGACGCAGCCACCAAATCTTTTGAAACTCCACAATTTCTACTGGGACCTCAGAAATCAGCATTTTCTGATAAGAAACAACTTACATCCTACATTAGCAAAATCTTTCCTGATAGCATAAGTCCCCATTTCCAACATTGCAGGAAATATCATGGTCTGCACACCATTTGACCAGTTTAATTTGTACTGTTCTTTATAGCCCTCAGCCATCCTCCCAACCAGGAGGCCATCTTAAGCTTTGAAGCTGTAAACAGCACTGACTGTGCTCTTCCTCTCGCTGTGGGGAATTCCTTCTGATCATAAATGTTCCACACACTATCCCCTAGGCCTATCCTACTGGGATAGCTTGTGGGACTATTTGGAGAGGAATGTTGGAGTAGGACACAATATTAGCCACAGCAGTGATTTCCTTTATGGTCAAGAGTCACATGTGCAGTTGTGACTCCCAAGTACAGCCACTTAGAGAAGGTCATAGGAAGGATGCAGCAACTGCAAAACTGCAATCACCTGTTGTTCTCTGGCCACACCATCTCCTTTGTGGCCTCAAAAAAAGTCTTACAGATCAAATTATTACGAAAAATGAATCACAGGAGGAATGAGGAGAATTTATTTTGCTGAGTAATAATGATCTCGAAAATAATTTCTGAAAAAAGGTGGTAAAGAAGATCCAATGCGAATTCTCACAAGTGAATGGTATACAAATTGATAAAGAATAAATATTGGATACCTGTGGTAGCTGGATGTGAGAATCACCCAATTGCACTTTCACGAGAGCTAGCACAGACCTAATGCGCTGAGTGGTCTCTTTTTGTGCAAGATGATTCATTGACTACATTGGATGTTACGCTACAGATGCAGGTTACAGCTAATGATACTAATGCTTTGATCACCAGGAAGGCAATAATCTAACTGACATCTAACTACCTTCTGAAGTGTCCTATCAAATAACTCAGTTATATCAGACAACCAAAAAATTCAATACAACCCATTACCATTAGGGCAACTAGTGATGGGCAACAAATTCCAACCTTAGCAACAATTTCCATTTTCCCAAGAACAAATAACAAAAGTTATCTAACAGCGTCATGAAGGCAGTAGGTGGAATCACTGCTGTGGCTAATATTCCAGGAACTAATATGACTGGGGCCCTTTTGACTGGGGCCCTGCTACAGTACAAAAAATATTAAGCGTCAACACAGCACATTCTGTTAAGCAAAACATCAGTCATGGTTTTGAAAACCAGTGGCCTTGAAATTCTTAGTCTGCATAGGTTTCAGTTGCTCAGAGTGAAGAGGCGGAACCGCTCTTAACCGAGGCAAGAACAGTGAGACCAGCTCACTTCAGATTAAAGCTGCTTTGAAATTCAGGTTCAGCCATGGGCAAAGACTCCATCTGATGCTGTAAACTGAGCGGAAACCTCCCCAAGGTTGGTTGCCCAGTCTGGTTTCAGTTTTGCTGTTGTCAGGCAAGGCAACAAATTCATCATAACCACTGACTTTTGCCCTTAGGCTTCTTTTTCAGATGGAGCCAATATGAGAGATGACAGCAAAACATCAGGAAAGACTTGAATGGCTGATCTGTTTCTAGTGACTTCAACGAAAAGTCCTTCAGACCCAGGTGGATGGAGAGAGGGAGCCGCAAACAAGAAAATTTGGCACAGGACTCTTAAAATGTAATCTCATTTCATCATCCTGAACAAAACACCAACCTCATACAGTGAGCTGTAATGCTCTAAAGTTTACTATCTGAATAGATTGTAGAATGAGCTTCTCAACTAAGGGAATCGGATATTTCCTTGAAAGGGAAAAATAGCAAGGAATGTTGAATGAGTGAGCAAGTGCAATAACCGGGAGTCAAAGTTAAGAGGATGAAAATTGGTCTTCGGCTGCAACGGAGCTTTCAAACTGGCTAGGACTTTTTAAAATGATTGGTGAAAACTAATTTCACCGCAGCACTTGAGTCAATTCACTACTTTCAACAATCTCCTTGATAAAACTCCATCCAAGAACCCTGCAAAGAGACTATAATTTAACCACTGGCTATTGATATAATAAGACTTGCATTTATATAGCAACTTGCACAGCCTGAAGTGCTTGTCAGTGTACTGCAGGAAATATAGCAGTCAATGAACACTCAGCAAACTCCCACAAGATAGATGGCAGGCAAATCTGTTTTTAGTGATAATGGTTAAAGAACAAGCATCGACCAAGACACAAAAGGAATTTCCCCTCCTCTGAGGCTAGACTTCATTTTAACATCTTATCTGAAAGACGCTGTCTTCCCCTCCCCCATTCCCTGTCCAGAAGTCCTCTGCTGTCAATCAAACACAAATGTACGTGTGTGCGTACATTTAAGAACCTGAATCAAACATGAAGCTGATTGCACAGACAGCTGAATAGACTGACTGGTCTGTAACATAAAGAATGGACACTCAGTCAGTGTCAGAGGGTACCTGTGGAACCACATCTTGAGACAGTCAGCACAATGAGGAACTAAATAATAAGAATAGACTAGAGACTGAGAACAGAGTCTGAACTTCACTGGGGTTCTATTGCACTGACCAAGTACAGGGTGTGTGTTAGCAGCTGAGGAATCTCATTATCCATTGCAGAACTTAACCACTTATGGAAAGGCTGAAAGTATCACATACACAGAAAATAATAACCTGTGAAAAACAAATTCTATAATAGAAATTATCAACCCATTTTACACAAGCTCAAGGAAATAGCCTCTCAGAAGATTTTACATTCTAGATCCCTGTCACTCCCATTACATTTTCTCCCCCCATGGGTTTAAGATATTCCAGAACTAGAATTTACAGGAATCAAGCACCTATGTTTCCCGTACATACTGGGTAGAGAGTACAGGCTGTTCAACCACAGAGGCCATCACAAAACAGCCAGTTCCTCTCCTCACTTATATGTACTCACCACTGGAGGGAGTGAGTCAACAGCAAATTGGGATTAGCATCCAAGGCACTTTCTTCACACACCGCACATGGATTCCAGAGGAATTAAGATCAACTGGATACCTGGGCTAGTAATGCAAAACATGTGGACTTGTATTGTAGAGAATATAAGTTCAAATCTCACAATGGCAGTTGAGAATGTGAGTTCGGTTTAAATAAAACAACTGATATCTGCGAAAGTGGCTATGAAGTTATCAGATTGTTGAATCAACTGGGGATTTACAGCAATGTTCTTTATAGAAGGAAATCTACTATCCTTGCCCTGTCTGGGTTAAATGTGACTCCAGCCTCACACCAGTGCAGTTGACTCTCGAGTGCCCTCTGAGATAGTTGTATCAAACCTGTCACTAGCAATTCAGGAAAAGACCCAATATTCCCCACTCATTGCAAGGAGAAGTTCAATGAAAACCTTTATTCAACACACAGTATAGTCTCGCTGGGGGTCAAATCACTGCACAAGGTACCAGCAAAAATTCTCCAGCAGATTATTCTTGTAAAAACGGACAGCGAACACCCGTTCAGGATTCTAAGTGCAGATTTATAAACCCCTTTCACATCCATCAGGCTTCTCTTCAGTCTCTCCGTCGTCTCTCTAACAGACTTGCCTTTCTTTTCTGCATATTCTCCCGAGTTTCTTGATCAACATTAAATCTCTCAACCAGCACCTAGACACAGAAAGGAGCTGGGTCGTGGTATCTTGGCGCTAGTTGCCACGTTAAAATACATAACACCGCTTCAAAAACGTGCTTCACAGACAACGAGGGGCTTTGCAGGCTCTACATAAATGCAAGTTGTTTTTATTTCTCCACGCACGCGTTGTTTTATTTTATTAAATGAAGGTTTTCCAACAGATTCAGGCAGTAAACGCAATTATAAAAAAAAAGATAAAACTGTACTATGTCTCCAGTATAACAGCAGCCTCTCCTTACCTGCGAGATGAACAGTAGACAAAACAGGAACCGCATCCTGTCCTTGGCCAGTCTCCAGTCTGGGTGGATTAAACTCAAGATCTCAGTATTGCTCAGTCCCGGCTTAAGTTTATGAGAACTTGCAAACTTCTCTGTCTAACTGATACCAGCCTGAGAACAAGAGACAGGATTCGTTACTAGAGTATAACGAAAAATGGGATAACGAGCAACGCAGGAATCGAGTCTGGCAGAGCCTCCGGCTTTGTCCCGGTACCGAACCCTCCAGCTCCTTCAAATAAAAGGCAAAATAGTGCGGGGCTTGGAAATCTGAACCTCCCGGCCTGATATGCAGCCTGGATCCCGGGAGCTGCTCAATGAACCGATCAGAGCAGAGCTAAGAGCTGAGATGGCAAGGCAGAGCCGCGGAGAGGGAGAGAATCTACCCCCTTAGCCTCAAATCTGCACTGATTCCCCCCCGCCTGAGTGAACCTACTGTACTCACCTTCAACCTCTGAGACCTTCCTGCTTTCCCTTCTCGTCTCTCTGTCTGTCTGTCTTTCTTTCTCTCTATCAGTCTCTCTCCCTCAATGACTGAAACATTTCCAATCGCTTTCTCAGGGAAGAGAGAAACCACAGACAGGGAGGGGGTCAAAATCTCGACCCCACGTGGTGTTAATGGTTGTGGGGAGGTGGGGGGAACATGCTTTTATTCTGATTGGCTGAGAGCTGCAGTATCAAAACTGCTCTGGAAATAATAACTCTGTTAACCAGATTTTCAACTCTTAAAGCCACACCGCACAGAACCGTCATTTTCAGATGTTCAACTATTAAATATTCAACTACTCAATATCAAACTAATTTGTTGTGTTCCTCTAACCACGGCGACTAGGCAGAGGGTAAAATAAAAATAGAACAATTAACATCATCACAGTAGTAATTAATAAATGAAAAAAATACCACCGAGACGGAAAATAAAGTTCAGCTGTATTTAAAAGCATTTCTGGATATAAAAAAAAAGTAAAAGAAAAGACAAGCGTTTATAAACCCCTTTCATGTTTTCAGTCAACAAACCATATCTAGATTGTAGCTGCTTAGATTCTGCAGAGGAGTACTGTGGCCAATTAGTGTTTGGCAAGATGATGCCAACAGCAAAAGAGATGAAGAACCAGTTAACATTTATTTATAGTTTATTTTTTGGGGCATCATTTTAGTCACTTCTGTACATGAAATTCTGCATTGGGATCTTTTACACTATCCTGAGAGGGCAGACAAGACATCAATTTAATGTCTCATCTAAAAGGTGGCACCTCTGACTGTGCAACACACCCTCAGCGCAGCATTGAAGTATTAGCCTAGATTTTATGTACAAATCTCTAGACTCAGAAATGGATTTACATTTGTAAGAAGTCTCCCAGCAGTGTGAAGTGCAATTTTAAAAACAATTTTCTTCATCACAATTTTAAAAATTTTAATGCCTTCTGCGTTCAGTTTACTTTTTTCTCTTCCTCTGTACTGCATTCCCTGTCCAGGACTTACCGGGAAAAGTTTACCAATGTGTGCTGTACATGTTAACATTTCTCCTGAGGACATGAATATCAATGATAAGGAAGGCATTAATCACCATTAATCATTAATCTCTTAATCATTTTTGAGAAGGTGTAACCTCTCCTTGAATAAGTCTAAATAGGAAAAGGGTGCTCCCATGATGATGTTAGGTAGGTTAAATTATCCTGTGTCACCTCAGACATAAGTATGGTGATAGGATGAGGTCTATTACGGCATTTACTCCAAACAAACCCAATTTATCCACTTGTCCAACATCAGTGCATTTTCCAGCAGTGACTCAACAGGGTCCAAGCATTATCAGAGAATTAGCACCAGGCCCTTTGGGAGTGAAATCAAGAAATATCTTTTCACAGAAAAGATCGTGAAAATCTTGAACCCTCTGTTCCTGAAGACATTGTGGATGTTGGGGCAATATTCATTTTCAAAATTGTGATCAGTAGGATTTATGCTGCGTAAGGGCAGCAAGGCGTGTGGAGCTGAATGTTATTGGTATCCTAAGTAGATATGATCTAATGGAGAACAAACTCAAAGGACCGATTCACCTCCTGCTGTTCACATGTAACTGGAGTGAGATCAAAAATGAGATCTCAAAATAAAAACAGAAAGTGGTGGAGGGACAAAGCCTCTCCCCTCCCCACATCCATAATCTCCTCCAACCCCATAATCCGCTAAAATGGCTGCACTTAGAGTAATAGAGCCATACAGCACAAAAACAGACCCTACAGTCCAACCAGTCCATGACAAATTGGTTTCCCAAACTGAATTACTCCCATTAGCCTGCATTTGGTCCATTTAAACCTTTCCTATTCATGTCCATGTCCAAATGTATTTTAAATGTTGTAATTGCACCCATCTCCATCACCTCTGGCAGCTCATTCCAATCGCTCACCACCCTTTGAAAATGTTGCCCCTGAGGTCCCTTTTAAATCTTTCTCCTTTCACCTTAAAGCTATGCCCTCTAGTTTTGGACTTCCCTACCCTGGAAAAAGACCTTAATTGTTCATCTTATCTATGCCCCTCAAGATTTTATAAACCTCTAAAAGATCATCTCATCAAACTCTTATGCCCCAGGGAAAAAAGAACCAAGCCTATCCAGCTTCACCTAATAACTCAAACCTCCAGCCTTCTTTAGTTATGAGCTCTCACATGTATGAAGATAAGCATTAGAAGAAGGAGTAGGCCATTCGGGCCCTCAAGCCTGCTCCACCATTCATGGCTACTCTGGCTATGGCCTTACCCTCACATTCCAATCTACTCCCAATAAACTTTGACTCCATCATGCATTTCTAGCTTTTAACACTTTACCATTAGTGCTCACATCTTCAGTTCCTTAGATCTTATGCTGAGGAATTATCTCCCTAAACCTCAGCTCACATTCCTTCTTTAAGATACTCATTAAAATCCACCTCTTTGTCCAAAAATTTGGTCATGCGACCTAACACCTCTTCATGTTGTTCGGTTTCTTTATTTTTTATATAACACCCCTGTAAAGAATCTTGGGGCATGTGTTACATAAATTTAATAATATTATCAGTACAAAAATAAATGTAAATATTGCAGTTGCCAAGCCTTCAAAAACATGTTCATTAGGAAGTCAAGCAACCCTTCCATTCATCCATCAAACTCAGGAATGACCCTGAAGAAGGGCAAATGTCTTTCTGAAGAAGGGTTCCGACCCGAAACGTCAGCTTTCCTGCTCCTCTGATGCTGCTTGGCCTGCTGTGTTATCTCCACACTGTGTTATCTCAGGAATGACCCTGCCTCCTCCCTTTTCACATGTGCACCTTCTCCTTTACCTGCTTTAGATCATCAAGTGATGCTGCATGTCTGAAGACATTGGTATCCTTTAAACTCTACCCAAAGGTAACCTTACCACAGTGACAACACTGCTGGAAACAGAATCAATGTAATAGAAATAAGGAAAACTTCATATAAGGGTAACCAATTTTCCTGTATTGACTGAATGTCTCCATAAATACAAATTTATCTTCATTGAAAACAATTCTGAAGGAAGCATCATCAGTGCAAGGGAAATTTAGTTTTTTTTTCAATTTCATAAACTCTTTCTTATGTTGTAGAAATATTGGACGGGGGGATTAAAATGAAAACAAGAAAGACAGCATCTGATGCAGTTTTTCACAACTTTAAGATGAAAGGGTTTTACAGCAAGTAGGCTGTGATTCTGTGATAGTCACTGTTAAAATATAGCAAGTGGTAGTCTAACACACATTTGCCCAGCTTTCCATGGTCTAGCCTCCATAAACATGAGTTCGTCAATAACATGACCTGCCTACATCTTATCCCTGTGTTCACTGATCAGTAGCTCCTGGTGATGCAATGCCTCAATTTTACATTTCTTATCTTTGATCAAAATCTCAGATGAATAAGTTACTATATTTAGCATCTCAGATTGAGAAGGTCACCAAAAGAGTGAACAGTTCTGAGGTTCATTTCTAGAGAATTTGGGTAAAATAGTTAAATTTAAGTGGAAACTCAGTTAGTCCATAAAATAAACTGTGTGCAGCGTTATTCTTCATATTACAAAAAAAAGGGATGCATGTAAAAAGTGTGGAAAAGGTTTGAGAATTGAGAAAATCTAATTCTTAGGAAAAACTAAGCAGGCTAAGTTCTTTTCTCTAGAAAGAAGATATAATTAATTTCTTTAAAATTTTGAACTATTTTCATGGAATAGATGTTTCTTTTTATTTACTTGTGAGACTGAATCTCACTGGCTGGTCAGCATTTATTATCTGTCTCTAGTTGCCCTTGGCAGTGGTGAGCTCTCTCCCTGAAGTGTTACAGAACATCTGTTATAGGTAGGCCTATAGGGAGTGAATTCCAGGATTTTGACCCAGCAATGGTGAAGGATCAGCACTATATTTTCAAGTCAGGATGGTGAATTACTTGGAGGGCAATTTACAGATGGTGGCAAGTAGGGACTATTCCATCGCACTTCTAACTTGTGCCTTATCAATAGTGGACAGACTGTGGGGAGTCAGGAGGTGAGTTACTCATCGCAGTATTCCTATCCTCTGACCTGCCCTTGTAGCCACTGTCTTTATGAGGCGAATTCAGTTTCTGGTCAATGGTAACCCTCAGGATGTTGATAGCAGGGGATTTAGTGATGGTAACAGTGAATAGATTGTCTCTTATTGGAGTTGGTAATTGTCTGGCATTTGTGTAACTTGAATGTCAGACCAAGCCTGGATATTGTCCACATAGAGTCATAGAGTAATACAGCGTGGAAACATGCCCTTTGGCCCAAACTGGTCCATGCTGACCATGGTGCCCACTCAGCTGGTTCCAATTGCCCGCATTTGGTCCATATCCCTCTAAACACTTCCCATCCATGTACCTATCCAAAATTTTTAAAAATCCTGTTGCATTTGAACATGGACTGCTTCAGGATCTGAGGAGTAAAGCATGGTGCTGAACATTGTGCAATCATCAGCAAACATCTCAACTTCTGACCATATGATGGAGGAACGTTCATTGTTGAAGCATCTGAAGATAGTTGGGCCTGAGGAACTCCTTCAGAGATATCCTTCAGCTGGGATGATTGACCTCCAACAACCAGAACTCTGTGTGTGTGTGTGTGTGTGTGTGTTTGTGTGTGTGTGTGTGTGTGTGTGTGTGTGTGTGTGTGTGTGTGTGTGTGT